TGGGTCTTGTTTGATGATCCATTCCATTAATCTTTGTCTTTTGATTGGTGAGTTTAGACCATTTGTGTTAAGAGTTAAAATTGAGAGGTTGCGATTTTGCCCTGCCATGCGAGTGTGTTTTGTGTGTGTTGTTGTCTGTGTAATTGCCCTTCCTTGTGTGGGCTTTAGTTTGGAGACCTTCTTATTTGCCATCTTTGTTTGTGGTTTGCCTCCTTTTTTTCCGGAATTAGCACATTTCTAAGGAGATTTTGTAGAACTGGCTTTGTGTTGACATATTCTTCTAGTTTTTCTTTGCTATGGAAGCATCTGACTTCATTCTCATATATAAATGGGATCTTTGCTGGGTAGATTATTCTTGGTTGACAGTTGTTTTGTTTCAGGGCTTGGAAGATCTTTGTCCATTCTCTCCTTGCTTGTAGGGTCTCTTCAGAGAGGTCAGCAGTGATTCTGATGGGTTTTCCCCTGTGTGTGATTTTTTCTCTGCTTCGTACTTGTCTCAGGATTCTTTCTTTGTCTTCATTGGAGTAGAACTTGAGCACCATGTGTCTGGGTGAAGATCTCTTTGGATCATGTCTGTTGGGAGTTCTCTGTTCATGCTGTACGTGGGCTGGATTCATGTTCCAAGTGTTTGGGAAGTTTTCCTGTATAATTTCATTGAGCACCACTTGCATTCCTGACTCTCTTTCCACTCCTTCAGGAAGACCCATGATCCAAATATTCGAGTTTCTGAGGTAATCTTTCATTTCTTGTATCATTGTATTAGCTTTGCTGAGGCTTATCTCCAGTTGTTTAACAAGCTGGGTATCTTCATTATGTGTGTCTTCAGTTTCGCAGATCCTATCTTCTGCTGTATTTATTCTGTTGTTCAAACTTTCCATTTTAAAATCCATGTCAGCCATTTTGGTTTTGACTTGTTGTATTTCTGTGACTATGTTGTTCTTGAAGTCTTCCCACTTCTTCTCATGGTCTCTGACGAATTTTAGCATTATTTTTTAAATTCCTTGTCTGATAAATCTTCCATGTCTTCATCTCACATCTCCGATATTGGTAATGGCTTTTGGCCCTCATTTGATGGGGTGCTGGCTCTCTCAACTGAGTCGTTGCTTTTTCTGATGCTTTTTCTCATTTTGCTATTTTTTCCACATTCCGGGTGGGTTGTTGTGTTTCCTGCTTACTTTCTCTGGATTCCTAAGTTGCGTGATTCTTCTTGGTTGCTCCGTGTTCAGGGACGCTTCAAGCACTCTTCTCTGCACGTTTCTGGTCTGCTGTTCTTCCCTCAGCTATCTTTCGTCCCTCTTTTACCACGTCCTCCTCTATGCCTGCCCTTCTCAGTCAGCCTCCTTCTATTTCCTCAGTTAGGTATTGTCTTGTGTGTGCCAGCAGGGATAGAGTGTGGATGAAAGATTTTGTAGCCTTGGGTTTCTTGTCTTTGCTGTGGGTTGATATAGAGTGTGCGGTTCCACACTCTGCTATACTCTCACAAATGTACTCCCCTGTTGGGAGACACACTGCTGTGACCCACTTGCCTGTGCCTCCACCCAGGACAGCAGACTCTCTAGCTGCTGTTCTTAACTAAGATGTTTCCTGCAAGTTCTCTCTGGGTTCATATAACAAAATTTTTGTGGTGCTTGGTTTGGTGAGAAACAAAAAGGATTTTACCTGCAAAATGTGCTCAATATGCAAACACATACATATGTTCCTTTAAACATAATTTTAAAATATTGTTTATTTTTATTTGAAAGTCAAAAGAAGGGAGCTGGTTGGGAATACATAACCATATGGGATCCCAGTGGTTACAATATGAGGACCTAGCCACTAGGCTACCGCACTGCCCCAACATACATAAACCTTTATAAACAGAGGAAATTGGAGAAACCAATGACTGAATAGTGTAAGGAAATGTTTAAACAAATAGAGAAACATTGGCCAGTGTGAAGCACAGAGGGCACATTCCAGGAAAAAGGAGAGGACAGAACAATAGCAGAAAATACCTGGAGACTGACAGACACAGGAAAGCACCAGAAATAATGGTGTGGTTTTACAGTGACTGATACTGCAATGACATTCAGTCAGTGGTGATTTGAATTTCATCCACCAGCAGATCCCCGCCTGCAACAAGGTGGGAAGGGATGTTCACTGGGAGCTCAGGAGATGAACCCAGAAAAAGAACTGGTCATCCTGCTGGTCTTGATTTGACCAGGAGCAGAGACTTAGCGGTAGGTCCTAGATGGGTGTTGTGGGAACAGGGTGGATTTCACAGCCCAGCTTACTCCCTAGAGCTAAATCAGGCTCCATTTTGTCTAGAGAGACAAAGGCTATGGGACAGGACTTAGCATGCACTGAGCTGGGAGTGAACTTGTTTTTGGTCCAGTGAACTGCTACGCCGTGGCATACTACGGGTTCCAGACCTGATGGCCAGCAGATCAAGAACTCTATTAGTGGCAGGGGCCATTTCATATGGTGTGGCAAAGAAATTAAGACTGTAGGGACAACAGTGAGCTACACTTGCACAGGTACATGTAGCCCCCAGATCTAAAACGGCCAACAAGTTCCAGCACTACCACCAATAATTTAGTTATTTAGGACACCTGGTATCTCCCTAATGTGGGACCTGCTCTAATCAGAAGTGGGAGAAAGGTCATCAGATAATGGTGCGGCCTCAGCACAATATCACAGAGTAGAGAGTTGTAAGAGTGATGAGCCAGGAGCTTGGGCTATGAAGATCATGGTAGTTGTCTAACATAAGAACTCAGAGGTACAATGACCAAAAACAAAAGAAGAGACAAAGGCACAATGAAGACTCCCCTGCAAAGGAGCAAAATCCTTTGTCAATCTCAGATTAAACTGAGGAAGACAGAGAAAATGGGGGATACAGAATTCAAAACATTTGTTATAAAGCTTCTTGTCTACAACAAGAAGCATGTAATGCAGGTGTTCAAGAAATGTAAGGAATATGTCACACAGGAACTGAACCAAATGGAAGCTGATAAATCAGAAATGAAGAATACAGTGAAGCAAATTAAAATGGAGAGTCTCCAAAATAGAATGAAGGAGGCAGAAGAAAGAATCTCAGAATTGGAAGATATTTCCTGTCACCAGGGGGAAACAAAACAAAAAGCTGAAATAGAACTGGGTCAAGCTAAAAAAAGTATTTAAGAATTGAAAGACACTAATAAAAGGTCAAAAACAAGAGTTATGGGAGTCGTTCGCATTTAATGAAATAATAATGGAAAAATTCCCTAATCCAGAGAAATAATTGGGAAACAACTTGCAGGAGGGGCACAGAACTCCCAACAGGGTTAATCAAAAGTGATCTTTACAACAACACGTGATAATCAAACTCTCTTCAATTAAACATAAGGAAAAGATCCTTAAATGTGCACGTGAAAAAAATCAATTGACATATAAAAGAATGCCAGTTTACATATAATAAAATAAGCATCACTTTATATATATAAAAAAAAAAATTCACAGGAGGCGTCTCACAGTAAACTCTACAGGGCAGAAGAGAATGGAGTGACATATTCCAGAATCTAAAAGCAAAAAATTGTTGGCCTAGGATAACATACCCAGCAAAGCTTTCCTTTGTCTTTGACAATGAAATAAAATTCTTCCACAGTAAAGAAAAGTTAAAGGAACAATGCCTCTCCCAAACCTGCCCTACAAATGATAGAGATGTTCTCTTGACAGAGAAAATGAATTTATTGCACCCAATACAAAGGCAGTACAAAGGCAAATGTGAAGAACGTTCTAGTAAAATAATAACTGAAGATTAAATCAATGAATAATCCATTGTTAAAATGACAGGACCAAATCACCACCCACTCATATTAGACCTGAATGTAAATGGCTTAAACTCATCAACCAAGCGCCATAGATTAGTAGACTGGATTAAAAAAGCAAAACCCATCTGTCTGTTGCCTACCAACAAAGATCAGTGGATACTATATCCCATACATTTTTATTTATTTTTATTTTTTTTGTTTTCATCTATTCAAAACGTGTTTTCGTTGAATTCTTCACTTAGTCATATATAATACAGCAGCATCATTTTCTTCAAGAAGGTTCTTGATTTTCTTGTTCATTTCTTCAGTGACACATTAGACAATCAGCAGCATTGTTATTTAACTTGATGGCATTGTAAATTTCTATTTTTCTTCTCATTGTTGATGTTGTATTGTGGTTTTTCATTTAAGGGGATGTATAGTAACTGTGTAGTGAGGACTATCATACCCAGGTGTGAGGATACAATGCAGTATGAATCTCTACTTCCAAATCAAAGATGGGCTCCAAATGAAACTGTATACTATATCTTGCCAATAGGATGCTGGACTCTCTGCCAATGTCCATGCCGCAATGATGGACGTATGACTGTCTATGAACAACTATACTATAGTAACAATACAGGGAAACTCAATGGGGAGAAAGCACTGGGGAAGGGGGGTAGGGAAATCCCAGAGTCTATGGAACCGAATCATAAAATGATGATGATAATAATAATAATAAAAGTTAAAATGAAAAAAATTAAAAAATAAAAAACAAGAAGAAATGGGCCCGTGTGGTAGTTGCTAAAGTCTTTGCCTTTGCATGTGCTGGGAGATCCCCTATGGGTGTTGGTTCTAATTCCAGCGCCCCTGCTTTACATCCATCTTTTTGTTTGTGGCCTGGGAAAGCAGTTTAGGATGGCCCAAAGCCTTGGGACCCTGCACTAATGTAGGAGACCCAGAATAGGCTCCGTCTCCTGGCTTTGGATCAGCTCAGCTCCAGCTGTTGCGACCACTTGGGAAATGAATCATCAGATGGAAGACCTTCCTCTCTGTCTCTCCTTCTCTCTGTGTATCTGACTTTCCAATTAAAAAAAAAAACCAAGAAATAAAACTTTAAGAGAGAGAGAGAGGAATCACACACATCAGACCCCAGACCCCCAGAAACCTTAGGTCAACCCTACCACCCTGTGATGGAATAACCCAAAGAATTTGCAATGTGACCAAGGAGAATGGCTAGGGGCTCACGCTGATCTGGGAACCTGAGAACAGCAGCATGAAGAAAGGGAAGATTTTTCCCGGGAAGGAGGTGTGGAAAGTGTAGATGTGGTCCTTGGTGGCTGCATCATAGAAGGTGACCTCCTCGCCCTCAAGATCCAGACAGACACTCACTCTCTTGGGGCAGAAGCAGAGGGTCTTCCATGAGTTCCTCTCAGTGAGCGCCTGGCACACAGCACTGGTGATTTGCAGAACCCAGAAGCCGCTTGCGGGTTCCATGGCCAGGTTGCCCTTGCGGGGTACCTGCTCCCAGGCCACGCCCAAGATGCAAGCCCTGCCAATGGGCCCACTGAGCTCAACCTCCCAGGTGTGGCGGCCAGTGGAGAAGCCTGGTGAACCCAGCACACAACGGGATGGATAGAAGCGCTGTGGTTCCGCTGGTTCCTCTGAGTGCTTTTGAGGGATCATGCTCACTGTTACCGTTTTCAGGTCCTTGGAAATATTGAGGCCGATGTGGGCTGAGGCCTCATCGAAGGTCACAGGGGCTGTGGAAACAGTAGAAAGAGGCACAGCCCTGGGTTAAGTCCTAATGGAGGAGGAAGATTTTCTCTTGTTAGTCGCGTCCATAGGGATGGGTTCTGCCACCTGTGAGCAGGCAGGCCTTAACTCCTGTGTGGACTTCCACTCTGGAGGAGTGAAGGGGAGTGGACACAGCAGCAGAGGCCCCGTGTATCCGCTAGAAGGTACTATACAGCCCATGCAATGCCCAGGAGGCCAAGTGGTTGTTACTCTAAGAATAACTCCTTCCCTTCTGAGAGTCATCACCACCACAGCCACCCTACACCCAATCCCAGGATCCCAGACCTCTCCCCTAGTTCCCTCAAGTCAGAGCCCTCAATTGCCCCCAGCACTCACTCAGCACCCGATGGAGCTCTATAGAACTCGTGGGAGCACAGAAGCTCCTTAAGTCTGTGGTGTGGGCAACTTGGGCGGGAAGAGAGTCTCTGCTTTCCGGCAGACTCAATTCTGAACCAGTATCATTTAAGTCAAAGCAGGGCTGAAATTGATGTAGGAATTGCACTGGGGAATTGGGAGTTGAAGATCCCTGATTGACTGTTGGGTCACCTTTGACAGAGAAGGAAAGGAGAAGAATGAGATCGGAAGGAGCAAGAGGGCAGGAATTCCACACCACCCACACAAGCTCAAGGAGCTCACTCTGAGGTTATCTCCTTCCACAGGTGGTGCAGTGTGGGCAGGGACAAAGGAAGGCATGCATGCCCCAATGCACAGCACACCTCACATCTTTTAGACCACCCATGGCACTTGACATTGTCTTCAAGGCCTGTGGAGGCCATAAGGTCCCCGCACCAACAGCCTCCTCCCTCTGCCTCTCATTCCCTGTTTACTGTTCTTTCTCTTTTTCTCTCCATCTCAGTTGGAGCTGACAACAGTCATTCCTCCAAGCAGCTGTGGTGAGGGCTAGGACATGCATCAGGCAGCCTGCTCCATCTCTAGGCTGTGTCCACCTTCACCCACATACCAGCTTTGTATCCCCTCCAGCTTCGCAAGCAGTTTCTTGTGTTCAAACCAGACTCCTAACTGGTGTCACTGGCTCAGATTGTGAGGTTCTCCCCAGCCACTCACTCAGCAACTGATGGAGCTCCATAGCACTTGCACTCCTGCGTAAGCTCCAGGAGTCTGTGATGTCTATGGTGTCTGAGACTTGGGTGTTCCCAAACATACAGGCAGGAGATTCTCTGCTTTGCAGCAGGCTCAATTCTGAACTAGCATTGTTTATGTCGAAGGAGGACTGAAATCGGTGTAGAAATTGTGCTGGGCGATTATGAGTTGAGGATCCCGGGTTGGCTGTTGAGTCACCTTTGATAGAGAAGGAAAGAAGAGCCAGGTCAGTGGGAAGAGAGGGTAGGAATTCAACACCGACCACCAAAGCTCAAGGAGCTCACTCCGGGGCTACAAGCTCCCAGTTATTGGAAAATGGGCAAGGACAGAGGGAGGCATGCATGCCCCAACACATACTACACCTCACATCTACCCAATCACCTGTGGCACCTGACATCTCGTCAAGGTCTGTGGAGGCTCCACCATCCCCTCTCAACCAGCCTCCTCCCTTTGCCTCTCCTCCCTGTTTTCTGTTCTTTCCCTTTGTTTTCCACCTCCGGTTGGCACTGAGAACAGTCATTCGTTCCAGCAGCTGTGGTGAGGGCGAGGACACACATCCCACAGCTCGCTCTGCAGGCTGTGTCCACCTTGGAACACCTAGCGGCTTTATGTCCCCTCCAGCCCCACAGGCAATCTCCTGTTTTCAAGACCAAACTTCCACCTGGGGATGCTGACTCAGGCTGTGTTCTTCTGTGTTAGTATTATTTTTCTCCAACAGTCACCAAAGAAGTTGGGAAAGGGAAAGGTAATTTTTGTCCTGAAACTAAACTCAGAGGCTGAGAGCTAACAGGAAAGGTGATGATTGCTTACCACAAACATCAGGAATAAAGGCAACCAGGGATTCCCTGGGAGCACCATCTCTGACCACAATGGAGGTGTAAAAGCCTTTCATTTGGCTTCAGGTCAGCACAAAAAGGATTCACTGCTGGCCTGAGCTGATGGGGCCTAAGGGTGGGAGCACTGAGTTACTATTGGAGGTGGAGCACCTAGTCATTGTCCCTCCCAATGGAGACCTTGCCCAGGAGCATGGAGATTGCCCAGCAGGGCTGCTAACATGGCAGAGAAGGCCCTGTGTTCAGTACATCTAGAGCCATTTCTTAACTTCCTGGCTCTGAGTAGGAAAGGTATCAGTTGATGATTTTTTATTACATTGGACTGTTTTTGTGTGGCTGTGAGCTATCTGTAGCTAAAAGTGTAAGACATCCTCATAGGGCCTGTTCTTCTCCCTTTGTGGGGGAATTCTCCTCCATATACCTTTGGGGGATCTTTGGGAAATCAACCCCTCACCCCCATGTACCGTTCTGCTTGTGAGTTGTTCTTGCATCTTGGAGGAACTTGCTTTGGTCTTTCTTCCTGTCATCCTGGATCTCATCTAGAGGTAGGGAACAGAAGGCATGAGAAGCTAGAGAAACTGAGCAAGCAAACCTGGGCTGCACCACAAGGCCCTGATTCCCTGGGAACAGTGAGGTGGAGTTGTCTCTCACATTCTCAGTGCATGTGAGACTCTCAGGCTGTCTGCACTGTTCCCTGAGATGTCCTCACAGCCCAGCACTGTTCAGTGGACATGTGATGAGACCACATTTTGGGGTATATAAAAATTCATGGGGATTGGCATAGCAGAGTAACTGACTAATCCTTTGCTTGCAGTGCAGGGGCATGCCATATGGGTGCCAGCTAATAATCTAGCTGCTCTGCTTCTAATCAAGCTTCCTGCTTATGGCCTGGTTAAGTAGCAGAAAAATGGCTCAAGGACTTGGGCTGTAGTACCCACATGGAAGATCCAAAAAGAAGCTCCTGGCTTTAGAGCAGCCCAGCTCCATCTGTTGCAGTCCTTTGGAGACTTAACCAGTGTATGGAAGATCTCTTTCTCTCTCTGCCTCTTCTTCTCTGCTTATAATTCTGCCTTAAGTGAAAACAAGTAAGTCTTTTTATAAAGTCATAGAAAGATAGAATTGAAAGACACCTTTAGGTAGATCTGGGGGAAGTGTTTAACATGTTGCTTAAGACACTTGATGCCCAGCTCTCTTTCCAACTCCAGCTTCCTGCTAAGGGGCACCGTGGGAAGCCCAGGTGATGGTACAAAGGTTTAGGTTCCTGCCACACACATGGGAGACTAAGATTGAGTTCTTGACTTTTGGGTTTTTCTTCACCTAGCTCTGGACGAAGTGAATTTGAGAAGTGAATTGAGTGGATGAAATACACATACACACACACACACTCTATTCTCTGTTTTTTAAATAATAATTTTTTTTAAAAAAATCATTCATTTTGGTGCAACAGTTTTTGAAAGCCATGGGCAGATTTTTTCCCCAAATATTTTCCATGAACACTTAAGCATGTCACATATAATTATAACTTTTGTAATGGTAAGTCCAGTGTTGTGGCATTGCAGATAAAGGTGACATCTGTACTGTCAACATTCTATTTGAGTGCCTCTCTATTGGACACTCAATTCTGCTGCTCCATTTCTAATCCGGTTCCCTGCAAAAGGTTTGGGAAAGCAGCAGAGGATGGCTCATTGCCTGGATTCCTGCCCTCATGTGGAAAAACCAGATGAAGCTCCTGGCTCTTGATTCAGATCTGGCAATCCCTGGCCATGTGACCATCTAGGGAGTAAGCTAGATGATAGAAACCTCTCTCTGTGTTTCTCAATCTCTATCTCTTTCTCTCTCTGAAACTCAAGTTAATAATCTCTTTTTAAAATATATATATATATATATATTTATTGGAAAGGCAGATCAGATTCATGAAGAGGAGAAAGGTAGAAAAAGATCTTGCACCTCTGGTTCACTCCTCAGATACCCACACCAGAGTGAGATGATTTGATCTGAAACCAGGAGCCAGTAGCTTCTTGTAGGTCTCCTACATGGATTCAGATTCCCAAGGCTTTGCACCATCCTTGGTGCTTTCCTAGGTCACAAGCAGGGAGCTGTATGAGAAGTCAAGGAGTGGGATCATGAACTGGCACCCATATGGGATCCTGGTGGTTGCAAGAAGAGGATTTAGCCCATTGAACCACACTGAACTGGGCCCAACAAATAAATCTGTAAGATATTTCTTCCTGTGGCTACATTAAAAATTAATTGGAGAGGTTGACATATGATGCAGCAAGTTAAATGACCCCTGGCACGCTGACATCCCCTGGGAAGGCAAGGTTTTGCCTCCTCCCTACAGACATAGGCTTCAGATCCAAATGGTCCTGAAGGTCAGGCACCCTTTGTGGCTTTCCCAAGAATGTGGGCAGTGGGTACAACCAAATACCATGTGGAATAGAGCATGGGAGAAATGCCTGAGTGAGACATAGCCATGGAAGTGTGCCATGATGCCCATGGGCAGGAGAGAATTCTCCAGGGAGGAGAACAGAGGCCCCTCAGCCTCTTCCTTACCTCCACATTTCCTCAGGCTCCTGATGATGCAGTCATTTCTGGACTTTACTTTCTTGAGTTGTTTCTGCAGGTCCAGAGGAATTGGGGTTTTGCTTTGAAACTGAGACTGAACCACCTCACTCCTAGAAGGACAAGGCAGAGCCCCATGGGGAAAAGAGGGAGAGAGGCTGGTCCTCTGGACTTAGCCTGTGGAAACAGAGTCATGAAAGTGTGAAGAACAGTGGGCATCAAGGGCTAGAGAGTGTTGACCAGGACGCGGGCACTACAGAAATGGGGCTGGAATGAGAAGCTGCCCAAGGGACTTGGAAGTGAAGGGGAGAGATGAAAAGCAGTGGGGCAGAGAGATGGGACCAGGAGGCATCCAGCTGAGCAGGGGACCTGCAGGAGGACTCAAGAAATCCAGAGAACAACTCAGGCTTCTCACAGCCAACTCATTTGCTCAGCTGATATCATCCCCCCTGCAGCCTAAACCTCTGACTGCAAAGTCTTGTGGCGTGGATTTTGGTGAGTGTGGGATGTAGATGATATCTGACATATGTTGAGAACAGAAACTAGCAATGGCTTGGGAGGCAACACACATCTGGGATGGCCATCATACCTTTGCAAGGTACCTTTAATGTCCTGGAAGAGAAAGACAAATAGCATGGTCTCAACACCTGGCTGACCCTTGGTGGCCAGGGAGGAGCTCAGGAGACAAATGGGTGTGGACAGAGCTTATGAAGTGAGACATCCCTAGACTCTCTCTCTCTCTCTCCTGCTCTCTCTCACCATGAGGACGCCTCCTCCACTGATATGGCTCTAAGTAGAGACGTGGTTAGACATCAAGAAGAGCCATCGATTATCAGAAAAAGGATGACAAATTCTTAGATGAACTTTATCTGATACTGAAATGAGCACCAGAGCCCTACTCTCTGGAACAGGAGAAAAATCAGAATGAGTTTGCATTAACTTTCTTGAAAGGATGGACACCCAAATCAGCACAATGGTTAGAAAAAAAAAAACGCAATAGGAAACGCCTGGCTTTTGTCTGGCATAGCCCAGGCCATTATGATCATTTGAGGGATGAGGTAGCAATAGCAGATCTCTCTCTCTTTCTCTCTGTCTTTCCCTCTCTCTTTGTAACTCTACATTCCCAATAAATAAATAAATAAATAAATAAATAAATAAATAAATAATTCTGTATAAAAAGAAAATTTTAGTTTCTATCAAACATTTTGAAATCTATACTTTCCTCATCATGTGGATTTTTTTTTTTGAAAAAAGTTTATTTATTTTAACTGGAAAGTCAGATTTACACTTGAGTTTAGCCAAAAGGCCGAGAAGCAATGGAAAGGCAGATTTACAAAGTGAAGGAGAGACAGAAAGATCTTCCATCCTGTGGTTCATTCCCCAAGTATTCGCAACAGTCGGAGCTGAGCTCATTCAAAATCAGGAGCCTCTTTTGTGTGTCCCTTATGGGTTCAGGGTCCCAAGGCTTTGGCCCATTCTCTATTGCTTTCCCAGATATGTTAGCATGGAACTGGATTAGAAATGAAGTAATCAGGACTCTAACCAGCACCCATATGGAATGCCAGTGTCCTTTAACATGTTGAATGAAGCTTCTCTTATGTGGCTTTTAATACATTGCTAAATTGCCCATGTGGACATGTTACAATTCTAAATTAAACTGGGTAGTAACTCATATTACATTTCTAAATTACATATGCAGTTTACATATTTCTAAATCACACATGTGGCTCATACTGTCCTTCCAAACAACACATTATCACCTTGACTCGTTCTGCTGGGTGGGGCTCCCTAGAAGCAGTGTGTATGGGCAGACTCGGGGATTCTGACAGGTGCTGGGTGCTAGGCCAGACACTAGGGATGGGCTCTACCTTGTGGGGATTCTGTCCCTCAAGGGACTTACCTGTAGCAGCTCTCTGGGTAGCATCTGCTGCTTGGCCTTCAGGGAATCTATGAGAGCCTTGAGAGAGCTGAGCTGTGCCTGCGTGGCAGCGTTGTAGTGTTCACCCTCCTTGGTGCCCTCTTCCTCCAGGCGCTCAATGCTGGACAGGAGGAAGTTCTCTTCATCCTTCAGTATCTGCCGCAGGCACTCGAATTCTGAGTGGATCCGTTCCTATTCAAACACCATCTGGGCCTGGGGGTGAGTTACAGGGACACAGAGAAGAGATGTTTTCAGCTGTCCTTCTACCCACACTGTTCCATTTTAACTTTTGTGTTTGATTATACTGAGTATCAGTGTAGAAGTGGGTACAGACTTTAGAGGAAACAAACTTTTCTTTTGCTTAAAAAATTGCTTGTTTATCTGAATGGAAGAAACACAAGCTCATGCACATGTGTGGACACATATACAGAGAGAGAGAGAGAGAGAGACAAAATCTTCTATCTGTTCTATCTTTTGGTTCACTCCCCAAATTACCAAATTGTCTGAGCTGGGCCAAGTTGAAATTAGTTACCAGGAACTCAATCCAAATCTTCCACATGGGTGCAGGAACCCCCAAGCACTTGAGTCATCTATTGCTGATTTCCCAGGTATATACGCCAGGACTTGGACTGGAAATGGACCAGCTGGAACTCAAGCCAGTACTCATATGTAATGGTGAGTTGAAGGAGACAGATTAACCCCCTACACCATGATGCAGGCCCTGAGAACACACATTTAAAAGCACTTCCCATGGCAGTGTTGTGGAGCAGCCCATTAAGACACTGCTTGCATTGAAAGCATCTCATATTCAAGTGCTGGTTCAAGTACTGGCTGCTCTGCTTCAGACCCAGTTCTTGCTAATGCACCTGGGAAGACAACTGAAAAGAGCCTGAACACTGGGCTCCTGTCACTGCATGGGAGACCTAGATGAGGCTCAGAGCTGACTTCAGCCTGGACTACCTCCTTGCCACTGAGGTCATTGGAAAGTGAAGCAGTGAGTGAAAATTCTATCTTCTTTCACTGTTACTCTTCCTCTCAAGTCTTGAATTTTGTTTAAATAAAAGCACTTAATTTGTGCTTACTGGTAAACTCTGTTATAATTCTCTGTTACAATTTATGTCATAGCTTTTGCTTTTAAGAATTTGGTTATGGGCCCGTTGCGGTGGCGCAGCAGTTAAGGTCCTCGCCTTGCATGCCTGGGATCCCATATGGGCGCCGGTTCTAATCCCGGCGGCCCCGCTTCCCTTCCAGCTCCCTCCCTGTGGCCTGGGAAAGCAGTTGACGAGGGCCCAAAGCTTTGGGACCCTGCACCCGCGTGGGAGACCCGGAGGAGGCTCCTGGCTTCGGATCGGCATAGCATCGGCCGTTGCGCTCACTTGGGGAGTGAATCATCGGATGGAAGATCTTCCTCTCTGTCTCTCCTCTCTGTATATTCGCCTTTCCAATTAAAATAAAAAAATAAATAAATCTTAAAAAAAAAAAAAAAGAATTTGGCTAGGCCACTGTTCTTGCCAGGACAGTAGGTGGACTAAGTCAGCTTGGGCCAAGTACCCATCAACGTGTATGAGATCTCCCACTGGGAGGAGACCAGAGATAGAGTTTGGGGAACTCTTGTCAACATGCATTTCCTGTAGGTGCACACAAGAACTAAGGCAAGGAACAGAGCAGACCAGCCCATGCCAGTATCTGCCAGCACACATCTTTTAGGTCTGGCTGCAGGCCAGGCTCAGCCAGTTCATAATATCTACTGGCATATATGAGAACCAGGATGGGGTACAGGACAGGCTGGTGAGCCACAGCATCAGCCAGTTTCCATTAGGGCCAGGACTGGAGGCTGGCTGACTGTGCTGGATTGGGTGGTAGCACCTGCCAGCAGGAGTTGGAATGGGGGCAAACCAGGCCAGGCCAAGCTATAACACCCACTGGAAACTGTCAAGGTGAAATGGGCAATACCAGATTGGGTCACAACACCCACCAGCACACATGACATAGGGGAAGATGTGTAAGCCCTGTAGGGGAGATATGGGGACTCCCTTGTTGGGTCACTGGTCCAACTGGTGAGCATGAAAGCTGGGAGTTGGGGTAGACCAGGCTGAACAATACTTCAATATCTGTGGCCTACATATAAAAAGGGGTTAGGAGTAGAGCCTGGCTGGGCTAATTAATTATATCTACTGATACAAGCATGAGCCAGAGTAAGTGCAAGCAGGTTGAACTTTGCTGTAGTATCAGCTGACAAATTCTGGGACTGGTGGCAAACCCTGTCGAGCTAGATAGCAGAACCACCTGGATAGTGCAAGATGTGGGAGTGGGTTCAGTGGGAAGGCACCTTTCTGATGGGCTGCAATTGTGAACATAAGAGTGGGTCTGGCTGGACAGGAACTGGACAGGCACTACATGAGTGTGGACTGCAGGGTGGAGTTGGTTGGGTTGAGTTAGGCTTTAACGCTCAATGATGTATTTGATATATTATTGGGATGTAGGACAGACTGGACTGGTCCACTGCACATACCTGCAGGCACATGAACCAGAGCTGGGGCTGGTCCCATGGGGATTATTATGGGTCATTCTAACTGGGCTGCAGCTCCACATTTGGTATGTGAGGACTGAGCATGTGGTGTGTAGGGCTTGGCTGGGCTGCAGAACCCATTGGTTTACACAGGAAGGAGGGCAGAACAAATTGATCAACTACCCTAGCAAGGATTAACATCAAATTTCTGGGTGAATGGAGACTCTGAGATGGACTATGTCTGCCAATCAACCTTGGAAGGATTTCCTCATACTTGGAGCAGCAATATCAACAGCATCTCAGAACTATTGAAACCACTTGGGCAGTACCCGCAGAAAATGCTTCACAACAGGGACTCTTGGATGACATCGGTTAGCTGTTCCCCAACCCTGGGCATTGAGGCAGTTGGGAGGCTGGGCATGATTTCTCCCTTTATATTCTCCCACCACACCTTCACCAGATACAGAAAGAAGAAAAAGAAAATATATAAACAATGGTCTCACCCACTCTCCCCTGATCTTCAAAACTTCCTACCCTTATCAACTATACAAACATCATCAAAGATAAAATCGAAAATTTAAAAATAAAATAAAATTCAGGGAAGATGTCTATTAGGAAAAAATTTAAAATACCTTTAGATTAAAATAAACTTATATCTTATGCCGTTTTGCACATATTTTTGCAGTGTTGTGTATGTTGAATTACACGCTATGTTTTGTTCTTGGCTTATTTCACTTAGTATGTTTTCAACTTCATCTATGAAGTAACATAAGTTGGAATTTTGTTCCTTAAAAGACTGAAATACCATTTCATTTAATGTATATATTACATTTGAGTGTTTGGTTGTCTACTTGTGGATGTTTAGGTTGTCTCTACCTTTTGTATATTGCAAATAAAGCAATAAGCATTAAGAAAAAGGGATCTGCCTAAGACTCATCTTTCCAGAAGGTTGTTCAGTTTTAATGCTTTCATACAAGTTTTTTTCCTTTGATACATCTAAACCAAAGCAATACAGAGTGGAGTGTTTCCTTACCATGAAGTTGAGATTTTGCGTATGCCAGTTCCTGCTTCTTTTTTTTTTTTTTTAAGATTTATTTTTATTATTTTCTCATTGGAAAGGCGGATATACAGAGAGGAGAGACAGAGAGGAAGATCTTCCATCCGATGATTCACTCCCCAAGTGAGCGCAACGGCCGATGCTATGCCGATCCGAAGCCAGGAGCCTCTTCCGGGTCTCCCACACGGGTGCAGGATCCCAAGGCTTTGGGCCGTCCTCGACTGCTTTCCCAGGCCACAGGCAGGGAGCTGGAAAGGAAGCGGGGCCGCCGGGATTAGAACCGGCGCCCATATGGGATCCCGGGCATGCAAGGCGAAGACCTTAACCACTTGCGCTACCGTGCCGGGCCCTCCTGCTTCTTTTGCTCCAAGACCTCAACACACAACTGAATCTGCTCCTGTGGGGAGAGAGACCTTTAGCCTAGGCTCTGCCTGGATTGTTCTTGGCTACATAAAAACCCCTGATCTCTCCAGATAGCACATGAGAGGTTCTAGGGAGTTCTGGGAGTGTTAATCCACACTTCTTTCTTGCGCTGGGGGGAAGGGAGAAATCAGAACCTCTGTGACCTAAAAGACAAGAGGGTTGCTATGATTCATTATGAGTAATGTTTGGATGGTACTTCAGAAAAATTCCCACAAACCTTCCCTTACCTATTCTACCAACTATTTTAGCAGGGATGTCTGTGGTCTGTTGCTAGTGGACTGGGAAACTAATGAAGAATGGCCCAAGTCCCTGGGTTTCTCCACTAGTTTGGGAGAGCTGGGAGAAGCTCCTGGCCCCCAGCTCAAGACTGGCTCAGCTCCAACGGTTTCAGCAATTTGGGGAGTGAAGATGGAAGATCTCTCTCTCTTTCTCTTCCTCTAATGCTGAATTTCAAATCAGTAATTTTGTTTTAAGACATGAATGCAATTTCAAACCTGAAGAATCGGAAGCTCAGAGAACCCCAGGGATTCCTTGAAAGTCACACAATCAACTCAAAGTCTAGATTTGAGCCCATAGCTTTTTAAAAAATTTATATTTTTAAAATTTATTTTTTATTTTGCTTGCATAGTTGAGAGGGATGCATGCACATGTACTTCTCTAATTAGGGTGAGGAGGGTCAAGGTATGTAAGAAGGTAAGTGGGATGAATGCTTCATTTCCTTTCTTTTTTTCCTCCTATTTCTGTTGGGAGAACTTAAGGAAGGGAGAGAGGGGGCAGCACCTTAATGTCAAACTGAATTTGACATGATGACATTTAAGAGACCCCAGTGTGGAGTCCACATCTTCTGAATTAAATTCATGTGTCTTGGGGCCAACACTTGGCTCAACAGACTAACTCCCCATCCCTTGTCTTCAAGTGCCAACATTCTGTGTGGGTGCTGGTTCACATCCTGGTTGCTCCACTTATGATCTAATTCTCTGCTTATGGCCTGAGAAAGCAGAGGAGGATGGCCCAATTTCCTAAGATCATGAACCCATGTGGGAGACCCAGAAGAGGTTCCTGGCTCCTGGTCTCTGGCATAGGATTGACTCGGTTCTAGCAATTGCAATAATCTGGGGAGTGAATGATTCTATGGAAGATCTTTTTCTACTTCTCTAGGTAAATAGGCCTTTCAAATTAAAATAAATAATTATGTTTTTAAAA